CTGGCCTCTGAGGCCATGGATGCCATTTACAACCAAATCTTTGTCCCCATAATTACCTATGCCTGTGGCAGCTGGGGATGGTCTACCTGCAGGGTTCACATTAAAAGAAAACTCATCGCCGCACAACGCAAAGCCCTCTTGCACATTACGAGGGCCTATAGAACGACACCCAACTCCTCTCTTCAAGTCCTGGCAAGAAAAATGCCCATTGACAAACATATCTCCCTACAAACTAAAGTTTGGCATCTTAAATGGGGCAGCACTATCCATACAGCTACACAGGAAATTAACCATCACGACCTCGAGTGCGCCATCCACTTCTCTCGTTCCAATCACCCTGCTATCCCTAATAAATTAAACTTCTTCCAGCCTGAGCATACCGATTTAACAGTCTATACTGATGGGTCTAAATGTAACAATAATGTTGGTAGCGGTTTTGTCGCCTACCTAAACAACACCGAAATTGCGTCTGAGCGGTACAGACTTGGTGCAGACTGTACCGTCTTTCAGGCGGAAATGTACGCGATAAGCATGGCCGTGGCTTGGACTGCCTCGAACTATGATTCCCAGACTGTTACTATCATCACCGACAGCGAGTCCTCTATTGCAGCCTTAAAAAACCATTGTGACCACCCCATCTCCACCAGCATCCATAGTGACATCAACAAATCCAGCAACATTTACTCCATCTACTGGACTCGTGCCCACCAGGGCACTCTCGGTAACGAGAGGGCCGATGAACTCGCAAAGAGCGCCTGTGAAGACAACAACCTTCCAATTGTCTACAGCAAGATCAATATTAAAACTATAAAAAACATCATTCGCAACGACCTCCTCGATCTTTGGCAGGAGGACTGGGACAGACAAAATCATCCCATCACCCATCAACTCATTCCTAACATCAAGACCTTCCTTGCTATCCCCTGGTATAGACCGACCCAACGTACCAGCCAATTTCTTACCAATCACGGACGCTTCTATTCCTACCTGGCTAGATTTGTTAACTCTCCAACCTTCAGCTGTTCCCTTTGCGATGTCGAAGACGGCTGCCTTCACTATCTACTCACCTGCCCAATGCTTGAGCTTGAGAGACACCTTCTTCGCACCTCCATGGAGACACATGGTTATCACTGGCCTGAAAACCTCCACGGAATTATGAACAATAGTGACACCTATGCTGCACTACTTCACCTCATTGACATGTACTTTAAAAGGACTACTGTTGCTGCTTTCAACTGAAACCTCACTTACTGTGTTCTGTGCCTTTATTGCACATCATCCTGATATTATGTATTTTTATAACTGTATCACTAACCTCAGCATCTCATATCACTTATTTTCGCATCACTGTAATGATATGTAATTATCTATATGTATATTTTGTACAAATTGTATGTATGTATAATTCTTCTTACTGCTATGTACCCATTAATTTTATTGTCTCATATTTCATACTTTATATTTTTATACTTTCATATTTTCTTATTTTTCCCTACTCCCTTATTATGTATTTTATCCTACTAAATGTATCGTTATTATGTAATCATCAACTTCGCTTTTCACCTGGCTATATGTATATGGCGCCAGGATTTGTTGTACTCCAACAAGTTGTAAATAAAATAAAAATGGAAAATGGAATGGTCCTTATGAAATATACTATATAAGATCAAAGTTAAATATGAGCTAAATTTACAGGTATGTATTACCAAAAAAGATTTCCCAATCAAGTAGATAAACACATTTCGTACTTCTTTAATGCATTATCTTGATTTTGAAAATGCTACAACATTATCATAGCACCAGTAGATGAACCCAGCATGGCCCAGACAAAAAACAACAAAGATTAAGATTATTTCAAACTTCTAATCCTTCTATTCTAGTAGCTCGGGATGCCACCTAGTGGGCGTTCTAGTGGCAGCAATGTGATTCCGCAATAAAAATAATAAATGCCCATTACAAATAAAAATAATATACTGAATTTCTCATGACGTACCCAACTAAAATGCAGCCAAAAATGCTAAAAACCGCATGAAATAATAATATACTGAATTTATTGTTAATTTAAATAATGGCTAGGGGTGCCCCTAGCGGCCATTTTTGGCATACAGTGACAGAAAGAAAGAAAATGCCCAGTTTTTCAGCTTTATATAGTAGATTTGGTTCTAAATCAGTCACACTCAAAACAGTATGAAATTTTTTTTTGTATTGTTGAGAGTTTTTTTTGAACATTTAAAGTTTGAACTTACATTTTGATAAACACAATTGATTTAAAGCAATAGTAGTTATCAAAATTTTATTGACCATAAACCATTTTAAATATACAGGGTGTCCACCATGAACCTGACACATTTGAAACAGTTGTAAAAAATCTACCGCTCAGGAAGGATGTAAAGTAATGCACATTTTATGATAAAAAACTCAAAAGGTTTTATTAAAAAAATCAATGAACCTCTACATAAGCTTTGTTGCACGTAGAACATCAAGTCTATACTCCATTTCCTGTCAGGTTTTTTGGAGCATCTCGGGCGTGACGGCAACAACATCGTAAATGCGCACAAGATGTTGAAGGTCATGAATTTTGACACTGCTGTAAACCTTGTCCTTGACAAATCCCCGAAAGAAAAAGTCTAAGGGCGTAATATCCAGCAATTGAGGCCACAGTATAGGTCCTCCATGCCCAATCCAACCCAGGAAACTGTGTATCGAGGAAACATCGATCATGCAGGCTCCAATGTGGAAGGCACCGTCCTGCTGGAAAATTAAATCTGGCTGCAAATGCATGATCTGCTGTACAACAAATTGTTCCAGCATATCTAGATACGTAATGACAGTCATTGTTTTTTAATGAAGAGAAAGGGACCTATGATCGAATTCCACATCAGTCCACACAACACATTTAATTTTGGGCTATCATGGATGTGCTCTATGATGCAGTGAGGGTTTTGTGATCCCCAAATTTGAGCATTGTGTGTATTCACTTTCCCAGATAAATGAAATGTGGCTTCGTCTGAGAAAACAATGCATGATAAGAAGGTTGTCTTGGTCAATGTGCCTTAGCATGTCAATAGCAAATGACTGACTCTTTATGCCATCGTCAGGTTTAATGTCATGCAATAACTGCAGTTTGTACGCATGCAAATGAAGTCCGCGTACACTACCTTATGAACAGTCGACCTTGGCATCTGCAGTTCTTGTGCTGTATGGACTTCCATGGTCTTCTTTAAAATGTTTCTCTCACAGTTTTCACTCTTTCAGTGGGCACCCCCGGATTGCCTCCGCCATGTGATTTTAACATGGCTCCCTTCGTCAAAAAGTGTTGTTTCCATAACTTGAGAGTGTTCCTTGAGGGTGGGACCTTGCCAAACACGCGATGAATGTTCCATTGCACTTGAATCACGGAATTTGTTTCAGCGTACCACTACACAGCTTGCGCCCGCTCTTGTGGAGAAGCCATTTTGCATTTGACTACTGCCACGCCACCTACAGTCACTTTGGCGGGTTTTCAAAATTACCTATATAACTTCCACAGTTTCTCTGTCTAATGGAATGCATGACATCTGATTACTGCCTTGCACTTCGATATGGCAGTCAAAACAAATGTGTCAGGTTCATGGTGAGCACCCTGTATATATATATTTCTTTTTTACTTTTTTACAGATCAAAGAATGGCAAGAAAAAATCAATAAAATTGGAATAAGACAAATTTTACATATTTTAATACTTTCTTCTGACAAAAATTAAAAGACAACCTTATCCTAATTTATGTTGCTTTGTTCTTGTTATTAATGTTTATATCTATCAATATTTTCTTTTATAGATTCATATTAATTCACAAATAAAACAAGGAAAACAAAAAATATTTATCTTTTATTCATAAAAATTATATTATTGTCTTTCAAAAAAATCCAGTTTTTTGTTTTTTTAATATTTACAGCTGGCATGCAAAAACCATAAATAAGCACTCCATGTGATTAAAGATTCATAATACAGGATTCTATCAAAATACTTTCTACATTCAAAGAGCTCATAAGATCTCAATCTGATATAGACAACCTCAAACAAAATCAGCCAATTTATTAAATAAAAGATATACTTCATCCAATTCATCTGTTATATGATTTGAGATTAATTAAATGAATGAAAACATATAAATATTCAACCTAAAAAAATTGACACAAATTAATTGCAATAACCTAAATACATATAAAATAAAATATATTCATTTACATACAAATATAATTTTGTAAATTATTAAAAATATTTTAATCTGTATTTTATCAATTTACAAAATTATAACAATAATAGGGTAAAAAGCTTTAAAAATAAATAATCAAGTGAATTAGTAAATTATTATATTAAAAATATTACAAAGAAAACATTTAAATTAATCCTCGAAATTATTTTTTAAAAAAATTATAAATCTGGTTATTTATAAAAAAAATATTTCAAAGAACAATAAAAGATGCTCATAATGAAAAAAAAGTTCCACAGATGATAAAATTTCCATTAAAATTTCCAATTCCAACGTTCATTATTGTGAACATTTCTTGTTGTTCTTTGAAATATTTTTTAAAAATTAAAATGTGACAATGTCTTTTTACAATTTTGAAATTTTACTATTTATTTATATTTGGCAATCTTATTCTTCTGAAACCATATTGTGTTATCTCTGGTGAAACATTATTCCATTTTAATGCTTGTTGTTTTTTATTTTCCTTTATTTTTATTTATATATAAAGATAAAAAATAAAAAAAGGCAAGCATTAAAATAGAATAATGTTCCATGTAGAGATCAACTAGTTATTTATGTCATCTATTATTATCTGAAAAATAAATTTTATCTTCAATGAATACTAATTTTGAAAAAATAATATACTAATAATAATTAGTCACTATAGTAAGTTAAATATTGTACTGTATGTATTTTTAAAAATTAAACTAAAACTATTAATAAATTAGAGCATTTTATAAAATTTTGACATTAGTTGACAAAAACTTACTTGTTTCCTAATATCTTTTTGTTGTGCAGGATCATGTTCTGTTAAAACAGATGGATGCTGATACCATTTTAAAATGACTTCTTCTGGTAAAATATCTTTTTCATATAAAAGATGTAAAATTTTCAATAAAGCTGTTTTATCATTTTCATTAGAAATGGCAAATATCTGAAAATGATGAACTTGTTAATGGTGTTTCAGTTTTATGGATTTTAGATAATTTAATTTTTGAGAATATTTTAAAAACAATTTAACTTTATATGACTTGACTCATTATCAAAGATGTAGTACACATTATGCAACTTGCAATTATAATAAAAATAGTTTTAAAAAAATTATTAACCACGAAAATACACACATCTATAGGCATTAATCAATTTCAACACACAATATCTTTTTATGATAAGTTTAAAAGATTTTCTCAAGAAAAACCAATTTAATGAAAAATATTAAATTATTATTCAATAGCAATATAATAATACAGAAAAATTTCAATCTATCTTCAAGAATGTAAACCTAATTAAGTTAATATATAAAACACATCAAATCACTATACCACCTAATGTTTACTGAGCAAAAAGTTTTTATTACACTGATGTTTTCAACCTTTTTGGTATAGGTCATCCTCAGGTTTAGAATACAATGTAATGTTCCAAAATGAAACATACTGTTTTTCAAATCTATAACATTTTAAATTTAAAACTTTTTAAACAAATAATTAGAACTGTGCATATTAAAAATAATAAATTAATAAAATACACGTTTTAAGGGTTTTTAAGACCCATTATTTTTCTATTATATATTTCCACATTTTGGAAGTGTGTTAGCATCCTTAGTGTTTAGGCACTATTTTTTTTATTTTGCTTTTATAAATTTCTACCTTTTTCTTATCCAAAGCAATGGATGGAGAGTACACTGTTTTAATGACGTTTGCCCATTGCATTGGATATGGTAAAAGTAGAAATTTACAAAAGCAAAATAAAAAAAATAGTGCCTAAACACTAGCGATGCTAATGCACTTCCAACAGTGCAGAAATATATAATAGAAAAAAAAAATGGAACTTAAAAACAACCCTTAAAACATGTATTCCTTGTGGTTAACTTGATGTTTACTGTATATTTTATTTATTTATTATTTTTAATATATGTAGTTCTATTTAAAAGTCTTTAAATTTAAAATGTTATAGATTCAAAAAAATGGTATGTTCCATTTTTGGAACATTTACATTGTATTCTAAAACCTGAGGATGATGTATACTAAAAAAAGGTTGAAAATGTTAGTGTAATAAAAACTTCTTTGCTCAGCAAACATTAGGTGGTATAGTGATTTGATGTATTTTAGTCTGTTTGATCTGTTAGTCTGTGGATGATTTAATATATATTTTAGAATAACAAATATACTGATAAAAAATAATGTCAATAAAGTAAAACCTGTGCAAACTAGAATTGCATTGTACTGATTATTTTTTTCTGTTTTGAATAGGTTTTATATAATATTTAAAAAATTTTCAACTTTACCAAATAAATGTCACTGTTATGTTATTTTTTTATAGTAAAATCACTTTTANATGAATAGAGTTATTTTTTTATAGTAAAATCACTTTTATGTAAGTAGGTATTTAATAATAATAACTTGTAATAATAATAAATTGTCATGCTCTGTTGTTGGAAATTCTTATCACATTACAGTAATATACAGACCAAGTTATTCTGTGATTACACTTCTTAAGGAATTTTAATATTGTAATTGTTAACTTCAATTTATATAACTATCAACAATTTTAATAGATTTTTTCTTGAATACTTGGTACTAGTTAGTTACTAACTACCCTCATAGTCCATATAAGGTGAATTGATAGCACTACTGTGTTATCTAATTTTTGTTGTTTTCAAGAAATTACATTTGTTACTTGTTCTTGAGAACCCAAACCTCAGAAACATTAATAATTCTTGATTATTGAATTTGATTCTTTCTCTGTTAATTCCAACAAACATTAATATTAATGAAGACCTTGTGTCCACATGCCCCTCATCAAATAACCATTGTTTCTATGAAAAGATTTGAATTTGTCCTCAGAATAGTTTGTCATGTTCTGAGGTAGGGAAAATTTTACATATCTGTCTTTAAGTGAAATTTTAACGTTCTGCTTTACTCACATTTAGTTACATTATTCAAACACAAAATCTTCTTCTGTTTCTGCATTAAACAGATTTCCAGCTCATAGTGAAATTTAAATAGAAAACAAATCCATTTTGAAGTCGTCCTGTTTCTATTTTATTCAGGTACCATTTTAGACAAGCATTACTGTATATTTCATTATTGTAAAACCTGATTCATTGAAATTCTGTTATTTTCCATAAAAATATGTCTTAAATATAATATATATTTAACAGGACCAATAATTCATAATTCTATTATATATAAAACACAGCTTAAAACTGCCACAAAATTTTTGAACAAGAGAGCAAAGGGATTTGGGTGAAATGAGAAGGGCTTGGGCTGAGGGGCAAGTGACTTGAACGGAGAATGGGCAAAGCAAGCAGGGTACAGAAGTTTGACTGAGATAGTGAGAAAAGTGAGCAGGAATAGGGGTTGAGTCATCCATTCTGTGGAATATTGAGTAAAGAGAGTAAAATGAGTGAAAATTAGTCCCTCACAGGGGATTGAATTGCCATGAAGTTTTTATTATGAAAAGTCTATATTAGGAACAAGTGGGTGAAACAAAACCATGTAACTGTGGAAGTGTAACATTTTTCTGTGAAACAGATAATGACATACATATTAATGAAAGTTTTTTTATGAATAGTCTATATTGAAAACAAGTGGAGACAGCCAATGGAGAAACTAAGCAAGAATTTGGCCATTGTAGGTGGACAGAAGAGCAAAGCCACTTAGTTCATCTATAAAACTATTACTTAGCATAATGTCAAAACAAAATCATAATTAGAGAACATTTTTTTTTTCTTTCAGTAATTCAGTAGTTTTTACTTAATTTATTGAAGTTTGGTAGAGAGACTTATAAGGATTCTAAACATAAAAGTGTAAATAAATCAAAATTAAATTTTGGATTATTTACACTTATTTTCATTATTAACATAAAAGATAAAAATATTAATTAATTATAAAGTTTACATTATATAAATAGTTTCCACCAAGAAAGAAAATTCATAATGAAAAAAAAAAATGAATAATAGAATAAAATAACACATACCTCAAGTGCAATAATACAATCCATTTGAGATTCTTCACTTTTTATATAATTTTTTATCAAAGGCATAAATTGTAGTAATAATGGTTTAAGTTTTAAAAAATATTCTTGAGGTGATACATCTGATTTCTGATTTGGTAACTCTAAAATAGCTTTCATGACAAGCATGTTAACTTCTTTCATAGTGACATTATATGCATATCTAAGAAAAAGCAATTTAGTAATTAGTTTTTTATTTAAAAACCAAATCAAATAAGCAAGTCTGATTTATTATCAGACTGCAGTTTCAATAATTAAATATACAAATGTTATGTAATTTAGATACATAGCAGTTGTATATTTCATTAGCCAAATTGTAGCCCGATAATGAATAAATCCAGCTCAATTATTTGATTAATACTGTAATAAGATTCAGGTTCAGTTTCTTATAAGATTAAAGCTAAATTTGCTAAATTTGTGTACATACGGGACTGCACCAAGTCTTAAGAGCATCTTTGTACAAACATAAAATTTGTGTCTTTTTAACCAATAATAAAAATTAAAAATGACATCACAAATAAAAAATACATTTTTATAAAAAGTTTGTTAATACAAAACAAAAAAGAAATGGTTTCTTATTCACATTTTTTATGTAAACTACAAGTTATATACACAGAATACAGAAAAATAATAATAAATTCATTCATTCATTCATTAACCAACAAACTAACTTTGTATGTCTTTATCTTTGCAAATTCATTTATTAGCACTTCAGTAGTCTGATTCTTTCAGTAATTGATTTTATTGAAATGATAGCAATATTTCTTCAAGTTATTCCTGAACTGTATGAGATCTTTAATAATTTTTAATTATTATTTTTTTGTTTTGAAAATGATCATTCTGTTCTAGTGACAGAAACTGGAAAAGTTAACAGAAAATGTATTTATGCTAGTCTTCAGAAATGAATGATTCAAATTATTACTAGTAATATAGCTTGAAGTTTCAGTTGAAGAAAATTTATACCAAAATTTTTATTCTTATCAGTTAATATTGCCTCAAGTTGTGTGTACAACTTAATTGCTTCAAAATATTTAGAAAACTACAAAAAAAGTTATTATCTCATAAAAATTTAAAACTACTTGAATATGCTGGTAATAAATCTTGAAATAATTTATGTTATGGTTATCTTTAGCATACGAGGGCAGTTTTTTTTCAACCTCCGATAGTCCATTAAACAAAGACAAGTGTAAATAACAAAATTAATTTATTACCAAAAGTTAGGTACAAACATGGTTACTTTTTGACATTATCACTGTGAAGATTAAGGCATTTGTCATATCTATGGATGAGCTTTGCAATCCCCTCTTCATAAAATGTTGCTGTGAGTGAATTGAGATGGCCTTAACAATGTTGTTTTGAAGATCATCATTAGTCTTGAACCTCTGCCATCCTAGCCATATTTTCAGTTCAGGAAAGAGGTAGAAGTCTTCACACATTAAAGGTGTGTGAAGACTTCCACCCAGCTTGGAACTTTTTAAACACCCAATGTACAGTCCTGATTTAGCACCAAGCGACTTCCACCTCTTTCCTGAACTGAAAATGTGGCTAGGAGGGCAGAGGTTTCAGACTAATGACGATCAAAACAATGTTAGCTTATCCTGTGTTATTCCCGAGATATCTTGGGGGTCATGACCTCTGACCTCAACTGTTTGACCCAAAATATCTTGTTTCAGCATCAGAACATTTTTGAAACTAGATGTTGCTAGTCATTATCATTTTTATATTAAAAGTAACTTTTAAAATTTAATCTTTTTTATTATTACATTTATTAATATATTTACTATTTACTATATATATTACTATTTTATATTTGTGCAAAATAAAAAAATAATTTTGAATGATACAATAGCCACAATTATTCTTTTCAAAAACGTATTATTTTCATTAGGCTTAACATCGATGAAAATTCAACATGGCATCACATGCAACGAAGAAAACTTTAACCATCCAATAGGTTAAGGCCCATCTCAAGTCACTAGCAGCAACATTCTATGAAGAGGGGATTGCAAAGCTCATCCACAGATATGAAAATGCCTCAATCTTCATGGTGATAATGTTGAAAAGTAACCATGTTTGTACCTAACTTTTGATAATAAATTCATTTTGTTATTTACACTTGTCTTTGTTTCATGGACCATCAGAGGTTGAAAAAAAAAACAATCAACATACTAAAGATAACTATAATGTAAAATAAACATCTGCCTGGAATTACTGATTGTGCTGCCATCAACAATCCCAGACATTTTACAAGAGTTCCATTATGGCCTCACTTTAACTTTAAGCAGGCTGCTAACTACATATGTTCTTTTGAGTGGACATTTCTTGAAGTAAATTCTTTAACTATTCAGGCTAAGATTGATTTAGTTTATGACATATTTTATGAAACCATTAGTAAATTTTTAAGGTACAGAAAAATTGATATATCCTCATAGAAATGAATCATACCCCACCTGAAATAATTAAGAAACAAAATTTGGAAGCAATGATCAAAATGAAAGCACAGTAAGCCAATTTAAATAGGGCAACTCACATGCTGGACAAGTCAAGCAACATTTCCAGACATGACCTGCACAGCATGTGGGTTGTTCTATATAAATGGTTAAATAGATAACACATCTACCATCAACCTTTAACATGGGTGTATATCTACGCATGAACTGCATGATAATACAACATCTAGCATAATTGAGTATGCTAATAAAGATTTTTAATTTCATTATTATCAATTTAAATAATAGGTGTTTCATTTGCATTAGAACATTGTGTTCTATTTTTACATTTTATTCACTTAAAGATAGTGAACATAAGTTAATGCTAGCAAAAATAAAAAACTGTTAAGTGTTTTTACTTTCTTTTTATGTGATATTTGGTGTGAAGTTCAAGCTGTATAATGCTTATATTTTTGTGACACTTTACTATTTAGTTTAGAAAACATTAAGAAATCTTTCACCTCTTTTATAAAAACAAACAAATAGAAAAATTAAATAATTAAAAATTTTGCATACGTTTCTTCAGATCAACTTACTTTGAAGAATTAATTTCTAAAATTAAATTTTCACATTTAATTTTTTCTTCTACTCCACGTTGAAGACTATCCAGTACTTCTGCATAAAACACTAAGTTGCAAATATAATTAAATATTAATTTCACATAAAATATGGTTTTACTTAAACTAATTATTAAGCAAATTATATTTATTTTGTAAAACTTAAAAACATACTATTTGTATCATCTGGAACAGGACTAACACCATCAGATAATTCATCAACATTAGAAGATGCAATAGAACTCATTTCATCATCAGAATTTATTGACTGTCCCCAGATGTCTAATATTTCACTTTCAGGAAAATTGTTATTGGTTTTTTGGTAGCAAACACCATGTCCTTCTATTCCAATTAATGCTACATTTGATGCTAAAAATAGATTATCGAATTATAATGTAACTTAGTATTTTATATTTCTGTAATCATTTCATAATCGTCATCATCATAACAAACAAAATAGATAATAATTAGACAATATATAGCTTTATGTACTATATGTTGCAAATTATATGATCGATTTGTAAATGATAATAGGTAATAGAGAAAATATAACACAAACAACAGAACTTAGTGACCATACAGATAATGTTCATAGCTACTTACTGTAAACATATCAACATTTATAATTCAAATTATAATTTATAAATACATGATATTTATACACATACTTAAAAAAGAATTTGATAAAATATAAGTAAACAGTTACATACATTGTAGATGAATTTTTGGTCAAAGATTTGAAATGAGAAATAGAAAATTTTGTAAAACTTAAAAAAAGAAAGTAATGCAGATTTTCTCAAATTTTACTTTTTTGAAATTTCTAATGTTGTCAAAAAATTCTTGGCTAAGTGATGACATCATAATTTACTTTATCTCCTTCAACACATGACCTGTCTATCACTTCATTACTTCATTCCTGGAAGCTCCTTCCATTTCCCCACCTGCTGTGGAGGGACTTTATAATCACACTGTGCTATATAAATTTCTTATAGTACGTTTAAAAATAGTATAGTTTAAAGCAGTGGTTCTCAACCTTTTTTGTTGATGTACCCTATTAGCCCATTAGTTGTTTCTCAAGTACCCCTTATATTTTTGTATGTAAATTTTATAATTACTGCATTAGATGTATCACCTGAGTTCACATAATAAAACAAAAGAAAACTAATTAAGCTTATTCTATAGAAAAGACAAAAAATTTAATCAATTAAACACTTTGTTTCAAAAACTTTTTTTCTGATGATTTTATTTCAGATTTATTCTTTGTTGTCAGATATTTGGAAAATGAAATGTAAAACAAAAAATAACTGTTTATTGGAAATTACAAAAGTTTCATAAAATTTAGTCAACATTCATTTTATCTAAACAAAAATTTTAAATAAATCTACCTTTCTGACAAGATAACTACTTAGATAATCCAATATTGTTTAAACAAAAATTTCATCAAAACTCAGATATATACATAAAAAATTCAATTATTATGTATTATTATTGAAATATAGTTGAAATATTAATTTACATTACAAAAAAAAATGTGACATGTTATATAATCATATATGACAGTTTCTATACTTCAGCTTAATCAGCAAATAATTTTGTTTCTCATTACATCATCATAAGAAACAGTCTAAAATTAATGTTTTTACAATAGAACTTAAACTAAAACTCAATCTTATTGTACTTGATAAGCTGTATATTATTGTGAAAATAACTTCTAATTAGAGAGAATATTTTTGTAACTATTCTAGTATATTATCATTAAAGATAAAACTTATAGTAGAAATTCTGGAAATGTTTCGAAATTTATTGCTTGGCTTTCTGAATAAATTTTGTTTTATACATTCATGTGTGTTTGATAAAAGACGTATGAAGATATTCATAGTATAGAGGCTTAAAATGAAAAATAATAAAAAAGTTTGAGAGAGAATTATTTTATATTAAGACAAAAAAATGTTCTGGAAAAATTAAATTTTTAAATTTACCATTGTCTTTGGGGGTTTCAGAAATAATATCCTCTGCAAAGTCTTCCAATTCTTCAAGAAATTCATACTGTAATAATGTACATTCTGGAAGTGTAATATCTGGTCCTACAATCACCTACATTAGTAAAACTTAAGTTAAATTGTATTTAAGCTTTCATCATACAAAATTGACAATAATTAATACTGAAACAATATTTTACATTAAAAACACCCAATATCTGAGATAAAATCAGCAATCTAAATTTATATTTTAAGAAGTTTTAAATGTTGACCAACTATTTAGTTTGAGATATACAAGAAATCATATATTTACAAAAGAGTTCGCAAGGTACAAGCAGATTCAATAAATTTAAGTTAATAAACAGTAATTTATAATAAAATATATTAGTTTCATTTGCTAAAACTTAAAATAAATATTTCATTTTAAATGATTATTGGATTAGTTATATTTATTATTATATACTTTTAATCTTAATATAAAAATATCTTTCAACTTCAATTAATCATTAACTTTGAAAGTGCCATATATTACTTTGTTATTTTAAGTGTCTTTCATATGTTGTAATTATAACGGTTGGCCAGCTTGTGTATTTATTACTTTATTGTTTTAATTATGTCTTGCATTGTTATAAACATGACTCCAACACTTTTAATTGAATACTTTAATTGATAAAATTGTAAATGATTATTGCCAAATGTCAAACTTCCTTTGTATGATTTGAAATTGTAAAAATATCAATTTTGTGGAAAACTTGTAAAAAAGCTGAAAAGGGACTGTAAGTCCAAAATGCGTATTATTAAAAATAAATTGATATATTGAGGCTGGTCTTGTGTCTGATGACAGTATGATAAGTCTAGAAATAAAGAGACCATTATACAGCTCACTTATACATTTTAATCTAAACAAGAAGCATTTTATTGTATTCAATAAATCATTTCTTATAGTAATTCAAGTTTTTAGATTTTATTGAAAATCAGCTTTAGTCTAGATTAGTTTCATTTGCTAAAACTTAAAATAAATATTTCATTTTAAATGATATTACAAATAAATTATATTTTCTTAAGATTATATTTGAAAAAATGTATTTTGGAGACTGATAAAAATATTTCTCTCTCTAATAAATAATCTTAGATACTCCTTGATAATGCCTCAAGTTTCAAGTACCTCAGAAACCCTTTATCTAAAACTAGCAGTTGAGCCCAAAAAATATTTTTTACCCGGCACTGCTCAGGTAAAAAATAACAACAACAAAGATTAAGGTTATTAGATTATTTCCTACTTCTAACCCTTCTATTATTATATTATATTATAGTTTTTGATTTATATTTACAAAGATTATCTTATGTAAGAAGTGTGCAATCACATTTAAAAAATTTTTAAATTGTGTACAATAGAAGAGTAAAGAATTTTTAAAATGTGTTAGATTGGTCATTCGGTGTCATAAATCCTTATGTAAGATAATCTTTGTAGTTACATAAATCAAATACTATAATATAACAAATACTAAAATGAAAACCATATATCATTGTCATGTTTCATTGGTCAAGTAGACACCAATTGCAAATGTGATATCTTAAATTTTTTAAGATATGATTTTTTTTCCTAATGTTAACTCCAAGAAACTCTACCTTCTACAGGAAAATATTAAATGGTAATTTGCCAATGAATCAAATTTTGCATAAAACAGACCAAATATTTAAACTTGGCATCTTCAAAAACCACTTAAAACATATTTTGTGCAGGCTGTTAACTTCGTATTATGTAATTTTCCTATTCAAATGCAACCATACCACTGGTCTGATAGAAAAAAGGGACTGTTGCGGAAGGGGGTTGAAGTAATTTGACTGAAATTAGTCGTTGACCTCCTCCCAGAAGAGAATATTGTCAACAACTACTAATTAACACTGGTGTACTATTAATACTTGAAAAGTGATCCCTGTTGGATAGGTTGTGATGGTTCTGCACGTGATCAGAGGTTTGGCTATATGCTATCTGTGTAAGTAATGATATAGTGGGTCTTTGTTGCAGTAATTAAGTGAATATAATTTATTTTTTAAAATTATATCCTTTTTTTGTAAAAAATTATATTTAGTTTATTATTTTGTTAAATTTTTTGCCAATAGATAACATTATGTAAACCAGCAACTCAAATATAGATAGAAATTAATTGATTTATAGAAATCCAATTGATATTTTGGGGTGGAATGTATGACATTATCTAATTTTGTATTTTATTTATAGCAAGAGAAGTGCTTATATCATCATAAAAAATAATTTAAACTAGATTTCAAATTAAATTTTAAATAGTTTAATTCAATGTGTATCATTTAGGCAGAACATAAATCATATTAATACAGTTTCTTTATTCAAATAATTTTTAGCTGATTCTTAAAATAACTAGCATACTATCAATAAAATATTAATTCAATCTAAGAACCATTAAAGAAAAACATTGCTCTTTATACATAGTTAAATACATAAACAAATTATATTGAAATGAAATAATTATTAACAGATTTTCTCTCACCTTATCTGATAACACACAACCAGGTAAAATCTTCACGTTTTGTTTTATTAAAACATTATCAGCCAAGATACATTTTCTTAAATTACAGCTGTCTCCAATTTCTACATTATTCCATAAATATGAATTTTCAATTGTGACATTATTACCTGTAATTTTAATTTTAAAAAATTTTACATTATTTTGATATATAAAAATCTGTACATAATTATAATGTATATTATGATAAATATATTTGTTCTCTGAACTGATTATCAGTTTATGTTAAGACTGCTACAAATTTCTTATTGTAATCTTTGATTTACATATAAATAACTTGTTTCATTAATAAGCAAAAAATAAATAAAATCTTTTTTTACATAAACTCACTTATTATCTTTTTAAAAATTATTAAACCATATCAAAATATTTCCACTTTCATGAAGTTATAATTTTATATTAGTCTGAAAAAATAATTCACATTTTATAAAATCTTATTATTAATTTAAACTAATTAAAAAAAACTTTCTTTTTTTATTTAAAATCTCAGATATTTGAGCTTTGTTGCATATCATATAATTTTTAAACTATTTACAGTCTATAATAAATAAGATAAATGTAAAATAGTTTATTAGCATAATTCAAAATCTAAATATTAGATTTTGTAGTAAGGTCTTTATGATTTATAATTTTTCAGCTATCAACAAAACCTTTAGTTTTTTCTTGTTTACCATTTCTATGTACAGTACTTCATAATGAAAATGATCAATAAACTAATTAACTGGTCACTATCAGCAATGAAAATATTAAATGTGATTCAAACTTTATAGTGAAATTTATACAGTATGAATATTTAATTCCAAATAAGGAGATACATACAGAAAACTCATAAATTTCATTGGGCAATAACTCAGTAAATTATAAAATCACAGATGCAGTCATTACATTTTTAAATTTTCAAAATCTAAGACTTTAAAAAAGAGTGATTTTAAAGTGCTATGATTTGATTGGTCAATTTGTATTTGAGAATAGATTGTTTCTTTAGGTAAAAATCAACATTAAAATTTTGAATTTTATGTTGTGCAGAAATGTAATTCTATGCAATACTAATCTCCAACTTTATATTGTAATACATTTCCTTAAAAATGCAAAAAAAATAAAGCTTGCAAAATTAATCAGAAAATAAAGTTCCAAATCTTAATTTTGAGTTAGTGAAATGTGTTCTTAAAACTACTTCAACTTACAGAAACATGGAATTCATTGAGTCTATGAGAGTTAAGATAGGAGAAGAATAAAATATGAGTTAGTAAAAATTTTGAGTTAAGGAATTTTTCCTTATCAAGACTATTTTTTGTATTGATATTTAACAACAAATATATAAAATGAAGTCTAAAATAGAATAAATACTGTTGTTCAGTATAAAATAACAACTGAAACTGAAACTCAAAAGTAAACTAATAGGTTAAAACTTAGTTTTAAAATTATCTGATTAGAGATTGATTCTGTTTCTTATTTAAAAGCATCTTAACATTCCTTCTTACAATAATATTTACTCTGAAATAAAGCAACTCTGATCTGACTCAAATCCTCAAGTAAAATTCTTCACTAATTCTGTAATTAAAATGAATAAGTTTTGAGTTTATCTGTTCTTTAATATTCTCTAGGAAGTAGAAAGTAGTCAAAATTCTTTACTGATAATTTTAAAAATCTCTCTTATTTCAAATTTTATGATTGCATAAAAACTTAAATAAAGTTAGATTATGAATTTAACACTACCTTTTGTTAATCAAACTTCTTTTGCATAACTTTATTCAGAATTCATTCAAAATCATTGTAAAAACTGCTAAATTTTTGTTTCAATTTTTATTTATTCTATTTTATTTATATTCATTTCATATAATTTTTACTAACTTTGTATATTTACATGGTTTGATGTTTATTATTTGATGTTAAAATGCTTTTTTTATGATTATATTAGAATACTTGCAATAAGAAATATTTATTTTTTTAAAGCATTGTAACAATTTTACTGCATTCAATTCTTGAAGAATAAGCCTAACAGACTTGAAAATATTTAAATTATAATGTTTTGTGAAACTTAATTGAAATAAAGCATGTACTTATTAATAGTGTTTAACTAACATAATACATTTATCAAGATGTGATTTCTTCCATAATATTCTAAAATTAATTTAAATTATTTAGCTTAATACTTGATAAAGGAATCTGGCTGTTTGTTTTCATTTTAAATGATTATTGGATTAGTTATATTTATTATTATATACTTTTAATCTTAATATAAAAATATCTTTCAACTTCAATTAATCATTAACTTTGAAAGTGCCATATATTACTTTGTTATTTTAAGTGTCTTTCATATGTTGTAATTATAACGGTTGGCCAGCTTGTGTATTTATTACTTTATTGTTTTAATTATGTCTTGCATTGTTATAAACATGACTCCAACACTTTTAATTGAATACTTTAATTGATAAAATTGTAAATGATTATTGCCAAATGTCAAACTTCCTTTGTATGATTTGAAATTGTAAAAATATCAATTTTGTGGAAAACTTGTAAAAAAGCTGAAAAGGGACTGTAAGTCCAAAATGCGTATTATTAAAAATAAATTGATATATTGAGGCTGGTCTTGTGTCTGATGACAGTATGATAAGTCTAGAAATAAAGAGACCATTATACAGCTCACTTATACATTTTAATCTAAACAAGAAGCATTTTATTGTATTCAATAAATCATTTCTTATAGTAATTCAAGTTTTTAGATTTTATTGAAAATAAATCTGAATTTACTTAAAATATTATCAATTTGTTTATTTATTTTAATTTAATATTTAATTTTTAAATTTATATTATTTCCATTCCAAGATTTAAAGGATTAATATAGTAAAGTCCCACAAACTCAACTTAATGTAGATTGAGAAGGTGACAAGTTACAAAAAATAACATAGCAATGATGCCAAATAGCAGAATTTTTGTAAAGATATTATACGTGCAAATTCATGTACATATTAACCACTTCCCAATAGCTAATTTTCATTTATAGTTAAATTTTAATTAAAGAAGTATTGGCTACTTTTAAGTTAGTGACATTTGCATCATGGCATTTTTCAGTGCACCTTGAAAAAAAGGATATATTCAATTGTTAATACATAGAATTGATATTATTATCAAGTGTTGCCAGTAAAGAACAATAACTTATTTGATCTTAGTGTTATGTTGTAGAGGTAAAAATTACATGTATTTTTTTTTTACAACAAGATGAGTTTTATGGAGTGTTGAGCTATTAATGTTTCTGAAACTCTACTGTATGTGACATTATTTTAAATATCAAAAAGTTTTCTAAATTTGAGCATTAAATTATAATTAAACCATTAATCTTGAAATTGGCTTTACCATCTTACAATAATTCTGACTAATACAAAAGCAAGAAGTTAAACAAAAAAAATCTATATAAATAGCAGCAATATAATTTGTTTTAGCTGTATAAATTTATAAATTACAAATTTAATCAATTATAATTAGCATAGTCAATAACTATTAAAAATTAAACATTATTCAAATAAATTAATTTTTTCATAATTTATATTACAATTTTATAATTTATAATAAATGTTCAAGAATATAATACAATAATATATTATATGTCTTACCTATTTTACAATTTGATCCAATGACAGAATTATATATTCTAGTATTTGTTCCTATTTTAGTCCCTTGAGCAATTACAACATTTTTTTCAAGAATACATCCCCTATGAAAAATAATAATTATCATTACTTTAATTATATAAAACTATTGTTTATCAGTGAGTTTAAATTTAAAAACATTCAATATCCTATAATGCTTATATTCAAATTAATAATAATTCAATCTTATAAAGAATTTTAATTTCAATTTATTTTTTTAAATATAATGTTCTATAGTATTGCATTTCATTTATTATCAACAAATCAGTAAACAGAAGATTCAATAACTTTATTCAATCAAAATGTATTAGAAAAAGTCAAATAAAAGTGAGCCAGCATATTTATTTGCAAACTGTTACCTATAAGTTAAAAGTAATGATCACCAGTGTAGAGAATCTAGTCTGCATTCACGAATTCCTTCCTGTCAGATCGTTGTACCAAATTGAAACAGTCAAATATCTTAGCAAAAACCAAACTTTAATTACACTTGATCACATATGGTAGAAACTCAATCCTATGTAGTTAATGAGATTCTTCTTATCCTTCCTTGCTTACTTTCAAACTCCACCACTTCTCTCTTCACTATACCATCCTCCCACCTTTACTCTGACTCTCCTTCTTCAACCTTCATCCCTCTCTCCCTGGTTTTTCTCCCATTTCTTTTATGGCTCTTTGTCTGGTTGTCTAATTACTTTCTCCCTTTTTTACAACTCTTTGTCTACCCTTATTAATTACTTTCACGACTGCTTGTAAAGAGGTTGGGTATGGGCTGACAAGACCGCAGTTAGGGAGGAAGAGTAGATCCAATATCACTACAACCCACATTGAGGCATTTATTCCACTGAGTAACAACCCCTATGATTCTATGCTTATAGAAGTCTTTGGTTTCTACTTCAGGAAGTCTGTGACCACTTCCTGCATCTCTGCATCCAAGATAAAACTGCAACCTTTTAGATGCTTCTTGAATTCATCAAATATATGAAAGTTTTGCCTTGTCCCTGTACTACATCATACTTTTCCGTTAGCAATAATGTTGTGCAGGTCATCTATCTAACTTCTTTCAGGAAAAATTTTTTAATTGAAATAACATGACTTCTGGTTTGCACTGGAAGTTTATATATAGTTAATCAAGCCTCCTGCCCCTAATCTTTCCATATTTGGTCTTGGCTTTCATCTATCTAACTCCATTCTTGCGATTACAGAAAATTTTAAATGATTATTGGATTAGTTATATTTATTATTATATACTTTTAATCTTAATATAAAAATATCTTTCAACTTCAATTAATCATTAACTTTGAAAGTGCCATATATTACTTTGTTATTTTAAGGGCTTTCATATGTTGTAATTATAACGGTTGGCCAGCTTGTGTATTTATTACTTTATTGTTTTAATTATGTCTTGCATTGTTATAAACATGACTCCAACACTTTTAATTGAATACTTTAATTGATAAAATTGTAAATGATTATTGCCAAATGTCAAACTTCCTTTGTATGATTTGAAATTGTAAAAATATCAATTTTGTGGAAAACTTGTAAAAAAGCTGAAAAGGGACTGTAAGTCCAAAATGCGTATTATTAAAAATAAATTGATATATTGAGGCTGGTCTTGTGTCTGATGACAGTATGATAAGTCTAGAAATAAAGAGACCATTATACAGCTCACTTATACATTTTAATCTAAACAAGAAGCATTTTATTGTATTCAATAAATCATTTCTTATAGTAATTCAAGTTTTTAGATTTTATTGAAAATAAATCTGAATTTACTTAAAATATTATCAATTTGTTTATTTATTTTAATTTAATATTTAATTTTTAAATTTATATTATTTCCATTCCAAGATTTAAAGGATTAATATAGTAAAGTCCCACAAACTCAACTTAATGTAGATTGAGAAGGTGACAAGTTACAAAAAATAACATAGCAATGATGCCAAATAGCAGAATTTTTGTAAAGATATTATACGTGCAAATTCATGTACATATTAACCACTTCCCAATAGCTAATTTTCATTTATAGTTAAATTTTAATTAAAGAAGTATTGGCTACTTTTAAGTTAGTGACATTTGCATCATGGCATTTTTCAGTGCACCTTGAAAAAAAGGATATATTCAATTGTTAATACATAGAATTGATATTATTATCAAGTGTTGCCAGTAAAGAACAATAACTTATTTGATCTTAGTGTTATGTTGTAGAGGTAAAAATTACATGTATTTTTTTTTTACAACAAGATGAGTTTTATGGAGTGTTGAGCTATTAATGTTTCTGAAACTCTACTGTATGTGACATTATTTTAAATATCAAAAAGTTTTCTAAATTTGAGCATTAAATTATAATTAAACCATTAATCTTGAAATTGGCTTTACCATCTTACAATAATTCTGACTAATACAAAAGCAAGAAGTTAAANAAACAGTTATTCGTACTAAGCGTTCGATTTACGATTATGTCGTTTATTTTGGTTACTTAGTTAATTTTATTTTCTTGAGAAAGGTCTTTTAATAAGATCGAAAACGTTTGAAAGTCGTTATAATAAAGCGTCGGCTGCAAGAAAAGGTGTTTTAGTAAGTGTTTTGATAATATTCTAAGTGAACAACTTTCATTCTTCTTCAATCAGATTCAGTACATAACATTTTATTCAATTTAGTTTTAAAAAATCATTTAATGCAACTACATATTTTAAGTGAATTTGTTTTTCTCATTAAATGACATGTACTAATTTAAAAAATTTTAATATACATCAGTATCAAAAAATTATTTATTATCTGTATCATAAACATAAGAGATAATAAGTAATTTTTTGATACTGATGATAAACCAACTATAAATTGATATTTCCTTACTGATAATATAATATTAATGCAAAACTTTACATTATTAAATTCAGTTTTTATTATTTTTTATGATAAAATTCATATCATAAAATAAAATGTTTTTCTTCTTTTATTGTAGAATTATAGAACTGTTAGATTAATTAACTTGTAAATTTTTAGCATTAAAAATTACCCATACAATTGAAAAGTTAAACTAATTTGCAGTACAAAATATTATAAAGTAATTTTAAAAAATTTATTTAGTTATTGAAAAGTCTAATTAAAACCCCTTACCTTGCAAGATCAATATCTTTTTGTTTATACACATTATGACGAAGGTAACTATAACGTCCACCATTCATTGCAAGCACATCAGGAACAATTGGATGAACCCATCTTCTTATAATATCTTGACTGTTAAAAACCATTCATTAATGAAGCTGGATATTATTAATTACAAATTAACTTTGAGTAATCATATTGTATTATGTTATTTATGAAAAAGTATTAATGTTTCAAACATCATAGTCTGAAATTATGAAACAATTCAGAATAAAAAGAATCTAAATATCAATATTCAATCTAATCCATTAAAACAAGAAATAACTATTATCTATTGATGTTAAACAGTTTTTATTATAACATCAATGCTTGCACTTTCAACACTTTATCAATGTCATCTTCAGGCAAAGAATGTAATTTTGAAACATTATAATAAATTTTAAAAAAAAGCAACATTAAATATTCAAAAATGGAATACAATTTTCAAATGCAACATTAAATATTCAAAATGGAATTCAAATTTTCTAAATTAAATTTAAACCAAAATAGGCACAAAAATGACATGCACATAAAGATAAATTAGTATGAAATAACATAGACTCTCACCTAAACGTCAAATTTCTAGCAAAACACCCAAATTCAACATTCAAACATTTTTGGCAACTCCTTAATTGGCCTTCATCAGGAAAAGTTAAACAAAAATAACTGTTCTATTTATAGAATGTTGCTGCATTGTACATGTAATTTAAAAATTTTTTTAAAATTAGTTCAAACAATGGCTGTGACATATATTAAGCAACTTATATTCCTTTAAGAGTCTAAATAATATTTCCATGCATTTGGGAATGTAATCCGTGTTGATGCATGGTCCTCTTATGTTGGCCCTGTAGATTTCTACAGCCTCTGATGTTCTTATGTGTTGTCTGTCGAATATCCTGTGTATTAGGGTAGCCTCTTCTCATAAGGGGGAAATTTCAACAGGACACTAACATACATTGGTTCCACATACAGATCATTACAAGTCTGGTTACGAGATTACAAGTATGATGTGGCAAAAGGAAACATCAATACACCCCTGACAGAGTATGCAACTGAACCAGGAATTTTCCCCTTATGGGAAAAGGCTATCCTAATACACAGGGTATTCGACAGACAACACACAAGAATATCAGAGTCTGCAGAAATCTACAGGGCCAACATAAGAGGAGCATGCATCAACACGGATTACATTCACAAATGCATGGAAATATTATTTAGACTCTTAAAGGAATATAAGTTGCTTAATTAATATACGTCACAGCCATTGTTTGAACTGATTTAAAAATTTTTTTCAAATTATGTGTATAATGCGGCAACATTCTATAAATAGAACAGTTATTTTCATTTGACTTTTCCTGATGAAGGCCAATTAAGGATGTTTGAATGTTGAAAAATGTTTGAATGTTGAATTTGGGCATTTTGCTGGAAATTTGATGTTTAGGTGAGAGTCTATATATATCATTCCAGTTTACTGTTGTGGTTTTTATATATGAAATAGCAATAAAATTAGATAAAATAATAAGATAAATATTAACATGCCGTTAGTAAATTTAGAATTACTGCAAATAGGTAATACTACGGTGACATAAATGTTAAAAGCCCAAATTTTTAAAAAGTTTTTAAAAAAGATACTCAGATTTNTATATATGAAATAGCAATAAAATTAGATAAAATAATAAGATAAATATTAACATGCCGTTAGTAAATTTAGAATTACTGCAAATAGGTAATACTACGGTGACATAAATGTTAAAAGCCCAAATTTTTAAAAAGTTTTTAAAAAAGATACTCAGATTTTTAGGAGATCCAATGTAGATTTATTACAGGGTTCCAATCTTTCAATAAATAATGCCTCCCAGTCAAAAGTAACTTTTTTGTCAAGACATTGCATTAGCAGCAAAGTCTCATTCCATTTCCACCATACTCCCTAGAAAGTTCTGTAGTGCACTTGTTACAAATATTGTTCTGGTATTCAGTAAGACAGATTTGTATTTTTCTTGTTGTGGCCCCAATGTAAAAAATATTTGCATTGTTTTCTGACTGTTGTAATGGAACCAAATAAACTCCCAATTTTTCTAGTGTGGAAAATAAATCTATCTTTCAGAGGAACCTGCACAAGGTTATTTGTGGTTTAATCAGAAGTATAAGCCCATATTTCTTAAAACTTTTGGTGTTGCATAATGAAATGGACCTTAATATGGAATGGAAGAAGTTATCCCCTTAGCGACCATAGCTAGTGCCTCTACTTGTGAACCTCATTTATTAACTCAAAGTGAGTTAAGTGATCTTGTTAGGGATCTGAAAGTGTCTAAAAAACAGGCTGAACTTTTAGCTTCTGGACTGAAAGGTTGAAATTTGCTTCATCAGACAATTCAGGTGTGTTTCTTTCATAATTGTCAAAAAGATTTTCAAGACTGCTATTCTGAATAAAATGATTTAATTTATTGCAATAATATTAGTGCTGTGATGAATGAACTTGATCATAAACATAATACCACGGAATGGAAACTTTTCATTGATTCGTCTAAGATTAGTCTTAAGGCTGTGCTTTTGTACAATGGAAACAAATTTCCTTCTGTGCCATTAGCTTATTCAACTAAAATGAAAGAAACCTATGAAAATATAAAGCTCTTACTTGAAAAAATTCATTATCACAAGTACAATTGGATCATATGTTGTGATTTAAAAGTCATTGCATTATTAATGGGTTTGCAGCTTGGCTATACTAAATTTTGTTGTTTCTTGTGTGAGTGGAATAGCAGAGACAAGAAAAATCATTATGTCAAGAAGGAATAGCCAAAGTGTAAAATGTTTATTCCTGGCCAGAAAAATATCATTTATGCCCATTAGTCAATACTAACATGATTCATTTACCTACACTTCATATAAAGTTAGGACTTTTCAAAAACTGTCAAAGCAATGAATGTAAACCATCCTTTCTCAAAGTGGGTGATAATGCCCCCTTGTGGGTGCTGGAGGCTTTCAGGGGGGCAGTAGAGGGCTCAGTGATTAAATATGAGTTTTATTTCTTCTCATTGAAACATTCTTTGATCTCAGAAATAGAATATGGGTCACACCCTATCTATCCTATCCATATAATAATGCATGTTTATATTTGCAAGAACTGTTTTTAAGATATGCAACAGATGGTAATGTAAAAAGGTAAGTTAAAAAATATGGGGGCACTAGATTTTTTTTAATCTCAAAGTGGGTGGTGGTCAAAATAAGTTTGAGAACCTGTGATGTAAACAATTCTGAATTTCATTATTTGAAGGAAAAATTTCCTCGTACAAGTGAAGCTAAAACAAAGCTGGAGTTTTCATGGGTCCACAAATAAGAACTTTAATTAAAAATGATAAATTTGCAAGCTTGTTAAGTGCAGTTGGAAAGTCAGCATGGAAATCATTCAAAGATGTTGCACAAAATTTCTTGGATAGTCACAAAGCTCCAAATTATTGCAAAATTGTGAATGGGATCTTACAAATCTTACAAAGATATGGGATGTAATATGTCCCTCAGAATGCATTTCTTGGATTTCCACCTGTATTTCTTCCTCGACAATCTTGGTGTTGTCAGTGACAAACACAAGGAATGATTCCATCATGGCATCTCTATCATGGAAAAGAGATATCAGGGCCAGTGGAATTCAAGAATGCTTGCTGATTACTGTTGGACACTAAAGAGGGATTCTCCAAATGTTAACATAGCAGAAGCTCCACATCTTGCCATTTTAGACAAGATAAATAAATAAGTGTATGCATGTTGTCTAAATAAATATATTTTACATTTAAACTGCTTGGCACAAAAAAAAACAGACGTGATGGAGAAAAACTGTTTATATATTTGAAAACAGCATAAAAAATTCTATTAGAATCAGATATTTTCATTTGTGTGACCAAAAAAAACTTTCATTTTGTTCCCCAGTGTAATAGTGCATCACATATTTCTAATACTTGTTGTTGAGCAAGTTGTTTTTTCAACAACAGAACATTAGCTAGCATTACTGCTTACAGATGGATAGAGAGACACAACATTGATTTTGTAAAACTGAAACATATTGGATGGTGATATGTTTATCATTTTGTTGATTGCTGTTTTTGCTTCCATAGCTAAAGAAACTACCAGCTCAGATGGCAGAATTAGGAGTTTAAAGAACTTTGATAATGCTCTTTCTAAAAACCATGTGGGATGGGTACATTTGTTTACCAATAAGCATAAAGACAACCCTGGTTTGTGAGTTTTTGTTTCAAAGAAAAGCCTTGGGCATGGAATGTTGGAGGATGGGTCAAGGGGACCAGTAAGCATTGATGATAAACAAGGTTGTAAAATGATTTTTCTTGTTTTCCTTAATACAGAAATGATTGGATTTAAGATTAATAAAATCGAATAAGAATGTGACAGCAGAAATTGATTTGCTCAGACTAGAAAATCATCATAAATAATATTGTACACATATAACAGTAGCAGTACCCAAAAATTCATCTTTATTTAAATTAGTGAATACAAGTGATTACTGATGATTAATGATACATCAGTAATCACTTGTATTCATTAAAATATATGAAGATAACTTGTGAATGAAAATAACACATGATCAATCACATACAGCAAATCATAAAACAAAAGCAATATTTTGTATAAAATTCACATTCCATATCAGAAAACAATTCCAATGCTATCACATATACCACATTGTTAGACAAACCTAACAATTTGAAAGTTAACTTTGCTCAGCCTAATCCTAAAAAATGGAAACACAATTGAAAACCTTCAAGCAAGAAAACAATAACTTATTTTTTATGTTTCTTGGAAAGTCATCCTAAAATCCTAAATTTGTTAACATTATTTAATTGTATTTTATCAAGTTAAGTTTATTTTAAACAGAATTTTCAGACTTTATAATTTCACATAATTCTAAATTAAAGTCATTGTATTAAAGCATCTTCAAAACTAAAAGGAAAATATAAGATATATCAATATTTCAACTATTAATTGATATAACTTGAATAATGTAATTTAATAATTGCTTTTATAATAATAAAATTAGAAAAAGTTAAAAACTAAATAAAATCTCTGAAATATAATAATTAAAAGTAAGTTGCAGCAGTAAATAAATCTGTAGTAGTAGTAAAATTAAGAAGAATCTTTTTCCAGTCATTTTTTAGAATAATTTATCAAATGTGTTGTATTGTTAAAATTGATTAATACTTCCCAAAACAAGAGGAAAATTAAAATTAAATAAAAATAATAAACTAAATAACAAAAAGTCTAATTATTTGACATAAATTCTTAAAATTCAGCTATAAACTAATTTGTTCATGCAAAGCAAATATTACTAGAATATTATTGCTAGAATTTTATTGTCACAATAAATTCATTACAAAATTCATTTAACTAATTTGTTACTAAATATTTTAAAATTAAAAAATTTTAATTTTGATTGAATGTAACTGAAGTTAACAAAATATGAACTGTAATATCTAAACAAAAACATCTGAGATGTAAAAAAATTTTGCAAGTAAAAATTTATGACAATTTAGATGACAGTCAAAATTTTTCTTAGGAGTTTTTCTTTGGTAAAGATAAATTTGGTGTTTGGAGGCAAAATGTAGAAAACAATAACACAGGCAAAAATCTTGTGGGTACCGCTTCTAAGCGCCAAGCTTGTCTTTACCAAAGAAAAATTCCCAAGAAAAATTTTGACTTGTCTAAACTGTCATAAATTTTTACTTGGCAAAATTTTTTACATCTCAGAAGGTTTTATTTTCATATCAATTGTTTTTTGTTTTTGTTTAATAATTGTATTATTATGTCAAGATATAAGATCAGTCAATGCTTGGCAAGGGCTGACTGAATGCACTGCCAACCGAATGCTTTCAATATTCATTTCAGTCAGTGCTGACTGAATGCATTGCTGACGGATGCTTTTGATATGCCGTTTAGAAAAATCAATATAAAAAGTTTTAGTTGGCATAAATTTAAGCTTTTGTAAATCTGAGTAACATTTTAAATAAAATTCATTTGTTTCCATGCAATTTTATCCTTATAAGTAAAAAATTAAGATGTAAAACTGAATTAACTCTATGGGGAAACCCCCGTGAACTTTGACCTATTGACCTAAAAGTTTGGTGAGCATCTCACTCATAATGAGAAAGGCTTAACTTTAAAATCTGAGCTTTCTAGACTCAGTAGTTTTTTCTCTATGAGCATCTGCAGTCCTGGATGAAGAAGGACAAAAAGAAAAAAAAAAATACAGCTTTTTTGGCAATTTCTTTTGTACTTTTCAATTGCTTATATTTCAGCAACCACTTTATAGAAAATCTTCAAATTTTGCATACTATCTAAAAAAAGAATTTTCTTTCAAATGAGATATTCAGAATTACTACAGGTGTTTAGAGAGCAGAGAAATTGACCCCTGAAAATCAACAACTCTGATTCCTGTATATGTAGTCAGTTCTTGAACTTTTTACTTGATGGGAAGTCACTGCCGTGACTTCTAATGTGTATTTCTCAAAAATTGATAAACATAAATTTAACCATATTTAAACAATATAATAATGTTTAAACAAATATATTATTATTTATATTCTAAATTAAAAATCAGAAACAAGAAATACATTTTTAGTAAATTTTAAATTAATTTCAATATTTAAAATTTTTAAAGTTAATTAAAACATTTTATACCTGATTGAATCATACATAAAAAAATTTGACACCTGTGCTGCATATCCAGTTTCAGCAACATGAAGATATATAGAGTTACCCAAAATCTGAAAAAAGAATTGAGATTTCAAAAATGCATAATTCAAATTAATTGATTAAGAAAAATTTCATAAATTAATGATCTAAAAACAAATTACTGTTGTAAACAATAATAAATTCTAATAAATTTATTTCAAGTTTAATAATAATTACTGTACTTTTCCACAAATAACTTGTGGCTGTGCATAATCCATAAGTTTAAAAAGTTACTAGAATTGAGATAAAACTTTTGTATAAACTATATCAGTATATATTCCTTGCCTGTAAATTGGCATTGAAAACATTGTACTTATCAATATGGAGTTTAGAAGCTGACAATAATGCTGGTTTTAAATTTTCCAAAACATCTCAAAAAATTTTTTCCACAAAATGTAGAATAGTTTTGAAAAATGTTAAATGTTATTTATTCCATAATAAAATGGATTTATTTTGCACCTATTTTGTTTATGCTGCATCCNTTGCCCTTACTGTCGCTCTGCCACTACTGTGACCTATGATTGGAGGAGTTCACCTTTTTCTCAGAGCCTAATTTTTCCAAAGGTTATGTTTTTGCATCGGTCTTTTGTTTTTGTACTTCCGGGGGACCTGGGGGCCTTAAAATCCCACTTCTAATACCAGTGTGACAACATCCGAAGCACCCCTTATGCTTCAGCACAACTTGACCAAAGGGTTGACAGTGTTTGCAATGACAAAGTGTTCAGATACCACTGTTTTTTGGACATCTCAAAATATTTTGTATCTACTGGATAAATAGAATACGACAAAAAACACCAGAAAACTGGACCTAAAAATCCAGCAAAGAAAATTTACTAAATAAAAACGTTTTTGATTGGTTTAACCAATCTTCCTCAGTGATCAAGAAATGTAATTCTCTGACATTTTTGATCAAGAAACAGCTGGTCAAATTCTACCATGCTAAGGCTAGTTACCATCTGCTTTCAGTTAACAATGTCTCAATACCATTTCTCTGGTACACAATTAATACACGATGTTCTTGGACTTCAAACTGATGTATCCTTCTATAAAAATACCTCCTTGTTTTTGTGTAATAAGGGATTTCCTGTTTGCCATTATCGATGATGCACAAAAACATCACAATCATATACTGGAACTTGCACACCTTGTATGTTATACATCATTCTTTGAATTTGAGAACAAAGTATGCGTACACGAAAGAGGCATACCAATGTGCAGTTCCATGTCAGCAATATTTTGTGAGCTAGTGGTGTGACAATTAGAAAACAACATTCTACCCAAATTCCAACACCTCATTATCGTATATGCTAGATATGTTTGACATCATCATCTTGTGGCAGAGAAAACCAAACTTACAGCAACTTTTAAAAGAGATCAATGATAACTCCTATGGATTATTCCTACAATTAGACCAGGAGAGTGAAACAATGGTAAACTTTTTAGACATTTCCATCTCTTGCAAATATGGCAAAGTTTGGGCCAAAGTATACAAGAAACCATGTTTTCAATCCATTTTAATTCCACATAACTCTGTTGATTCTCTCCACATCAAATTGGCAGCCTTTAGATCCTTGATAAGAAGAGCATATACACATTGTACAAGCATATGTGACACCATAACAAAGCTGAATTATATCTTAAGGATTGCAGAATAACAGGGTTATCCAATAGAAATGATAAGAAAGTTGATCACAACCTTTCAAGCAACAAAACACAAGCATGTGTCAATGGACCAGAAACGAAGAGTGGTTTTAAAATATATCCCGTTTTTAAGAGGAATACATGTGAAAGCAGCCAGAGCTAATAATCTTGAGGTTTTGTATATCAATGCAACCCAACAATATTCAGAATTTTAAGGAATGATAAAAAACTGTATAACCATAATTCAGCGATGGGGGTTTACTCTATCCTGATAATCGACCAACATTTCAAATCAAAACTGGTCTATATAGGTGCCACTATGCACAACTTACAACAACAGCTCAAAGAACATAAATATACAACTGATAAAGATCTTGATAACACGACACTGGCAGCTTACGCACAACATCAGGACATTCAGGTGCAATAGGAGCAGGCATCAATCATTAAACCAACATTGAATATACATACTATGAGATATCTGGAAAGATTGGAGATTTTTAAAGCGCACAAAAAACCAGTTGCATCAACCATAGAGACACGGACACCTTGGCTACTGCATGGCAGTCTTTTTATGAAAGTTAATTTTATTAAGGGACATTTATTTGTCTATTTTTACTTTTTATTGTTTATTTTATTTTTGTAGTTATTTATTTATTATTTGCAACTACAATTTCAGTTATTTATTTATTTATTTTAGAATTCTGGTTATCATTTATTTCTACATTTACGTTCTATTTTATTGTAACTGAGGAAGACTGGTTAAACCAATCGAAAACATTTTTATTTAATAAATTTTCTTTGCTGATTTTAAAAAGTGTGTTTTTGTCATAATCTACTCAAAATCTATATAATACATTTCTGTCAAAATTTAAAATTATTATTAAATAAACATAATATATTATTAATAATAAACAATTAAATTACCTCTTCATTGAAGAGTATACCTCGTACAAAATCTTCATGGTTTTGATAATCAAAATTATCTGAATATAATAATGGAACTTGAGGAGAACAAATACAGATATGACAATCTAGTAAATCATGTCTAATTGTAATGTTTCCATGATCTTGAAATATTGACTAAAATTAAAATTTTTATGTTTATAATTTATATAAAATTAATTAATATAATTTTTAATATTCAAAAAATTTAATTATTAATATACATATACTGTTTGAGTTGAGATATACATAATATACAGTAATGTTAAAAGTTAAATGATAATTTAAAAATGAATATATAACTTATGTATGTAAGAAAATACAATAAAATGTGATAAACATGCAATGCATTGATTACATTCTGCCTGCCATATGAGCAAATCATGAATGCAATATAAAGTACTTAAATTCATTTGTTCTTATACTGTACCAGTCAGCTCTCTATTCATTTTAGTGGTATTTTGAACTGGAAATTAAACAATAAAATAGATGAACAGAGCTAATCTATATTAACTAAGCTTCAAAATGATGCATAAAACATAAATTTAAATCTTTTTTTTTCTTTGTAGGCACAATAAAGTGTAGTTAATTGAACACACTACATATCCTTTCATCCTTTTATTGGTCTGTTTAGTTGATATGCAAAATGGAAAAAATCAATGTATTTTGTGGTACTGTATGTACTGTACATGGAATATCAGCATAAATGTTAAAAGTTGTAAAAACGAAAATGTAATGACAATCATAAACATATTTAAATTAGATTTCCTTACCTAAGAGACATAGCAGAAATAGTATTTGTGACAAGACTATGTCTTGTTTATAAAATCATACTGCCTGCTGTGTAACCAGCTTAGAGGTATGAAGGAGTATAGTACATGTCAGGAGTTGCAATTTGGCACAGAGTATTAGTTACCCAAATCATGCAGGCATAAAAAAAACCAGACTTGTAGGTATTCAGGGGACCGAGAACAGAATCAAAATAAAATTCAAAACGGCAACACTCTCTACAAACAGGCAGCAGTGCAAGATTTGTACATGCGTTGCTTGCTGGAAAGTTGGAAATGCAAATGTTACAAAATCAAATTTTGACAAACACATGTGTTGGGAAGTTTGAAATGAGAAATTGAATTTTGACAAATGAATCTTTGAAAAAACCCATTTACCTGTCCTGTATTATTTCGACATATCTCTGGTTGCATCATGCTGACCTTGACTGGTTAATCCAAGATATCTCGTTTCAGCATCGGAACCTTTTCTCAAAGTAAATGGTGCTAGTCGTTATAATTTTATATTAAAACTAATTTCTGAAATATAATTTTTTTTTCTACATTTATTTATATATATACCCTCACCTAAATGTTTTTATATATNTTTTAAAAAAATCAATATTTGTTTTATATTATATTTATATTATATAATAAAATCGCAGTACAGAACTGCTGTAAAATAAAAAAGTACAGAACTGCAGCTCCCATGCATTTTGCAAACCTACATTTCGGCTCCCACTGAACTCTTGCTTTCCCACCCCTGTTATATAATATTAGTTCTACAGATATCATTCGAAAGTTTTCTAAAATTTTAAATATTTTAAAATTGTTTGCTCGTTCATCACCTAACTTGAAAATAGACGACCGCAAGTATCATAAGAATTCAGCTTACTACTGTTTAAGTTACATTGGTATTTCATTAATTCTGTTAAATGCATATATATATTTAAGATATAAGAATAAAAAGAAATGGAGGATTTTGATGTATTTTATTGCTGTTACATTGCTATTCCTATTGGATATGAAGTAGGCATTATAGTGATTCTTGTCTATTTTGCGTACACAATAATTCGTGTTCTTGTGCAGATTGAACGTTCTATCATAACTGAAATAAAGGAAAGACAATTAAGTACCATTAACTGCGTTTCTATTATTCAACTAGAGTCAATAATGTTAATTAATTTAATTGAAATTGTCGAACAAATGTTTAGTACAGTTATTAAGAAAATAACATTGTTATTTCAATTGAAGCTGTTATCATTTTATACGGAATTCATTTTATGGATTTGCCAACCTATCTTATATATGTCGGTTGTATTATTTTCATTATTTTACTTTTGGCATTGATTTTGTATACTTCAAGTTTTGTATCTTTATTAGCGGAAGTAAATGTATTAATAACTGTATAATTATTAATACATTTACAAGCTTGTATGTGTTATTTATATATATTTATATTTTGCACAAACACACACACACACACATATATATATATATATAATTTCGGACAATATGATAGCCAGGATTATTTTTTCAAAAACAGGAAATTTTTGTTATGCATTGACAAAAATTCAACCTGGGGTGACATGCAGTGTTGAGAAATTTTGAAATTGGACAGGTTAATTTCACTGAAAATGCATTGTGGACAACCTCGTGGTAGTGGCTGGCGAAGTTTGAAAGATCGCACTCAAAACCAGCAATACCAAAGATTGGAGAATGAGAATGAGACCCACCTTCTTGAGCATCAAAGTGTTTCCACTTAGTAGTGAGTCTCTGAGACATAGTCTTGTCCCAAATATGGCATTGCCATTTTCTTGTTAATTTTAAAATGGTATCTTTAATTAATCAAAAAATTTTTAGTGAGGTAGGTTTGAAAAATCTAGCTGCAGTTTGACTCTCTACACTAATGAAATTATGTAAATCGGTACAAAATTACATGATGTAGATTAGGAGTCCCCAAAGTGGTCGATAAGAGTTCTCCAGGGGTCGATTAATACACAAGGGTCAAAAGGGGGTCAATTAATACCAAAGAGGATCAATTAAACTATCTAGGAAAAAAATAGAATATTCCAATAAAAATTTGAAATACGGATATGATCAACAACATTACTGACTACCCTAGTTATAACTTGAGTTTTGCCTTAGCCTATGCCACTTTAAGTATGTGTTACTCTGTTTTCATGCATCTGGCAACTGTACTAGTGTTACAAACATATTATGAATGCTGGTAGTTCATTATACACAGACTTACGTTGCACTGTTACACTCTAGTAGGGTTGTCACACTAAGTATTTTATATCTAAATGTAGATATTTTGTCCTTTACAGAGAAAATATCATAATATATCGAAAATCATTAATATAGTACAGAAGCGTTTGCGAGGAAAAACGTTACAATTGTTCAAGCTCTAATAATCACAGTGGCCTTTTAAGTAAAAATGGAGCTATTTAAATCTTCACCGACACAATCCGATTTTAAATATTTTTCAAACTTGCGAGTACTAAAAGAAAATGAAAAGATTTCCGACCGTGATTTGGAGATATATATTAAACATCTTGATAAATTAAGAGAAGACTTTAAACCATGTTTCGAAGACTTGGAGAATATGCATGTTCCCAAATGATTTGCTAATTCATTTGATGTAAAAATAGATGATGAAGGTAGTGAACCTGGCTTAGAAGATGAACTGAGTGAAATATGTGTAGATCTCGAAGCTAAAGCATTGTTTAAAAATAAAAATCGGGGTGAATTTTGGAGCAATAACAATATTGTCACTAAATATCTTAAGCTCAGAGCAGAAGCTGAACCTTTCTTACTTGCATTCCCAACTTCATACATGGCTGAAGCTGGTTTTAGCCACGTGAACGCAATTTTGACAAAACAGAGGAACAGATTGAACTCGGAAAACTGTGGTGATTTGCGACTAAAACTTACCAATTTTCAACCAAATATCAATAATCTTGCTGCTTCTCTTCAGACACATCCATTCCACTAATATCAACTATTTTAATAAAAAGGTATGTTAACTTATTTTTAAGGCATTCAGTAGTAGTCGCAAAATGACAGTAAAAGGTTTTTTCATCCAATATAACTTGTTATGTTTTCAAAGATAATTGTGTATTTTACATATTATGACACATATGCTTTAAGAACTATAGGCAAATTTCCATCTATCCATAATTTTGCTATTATTTTTTAAGATTATAAATCAGTGGAAAATAACTCCTATTTCTGTTAATGTTAATGGGTGGATTTTATAAGAAACTAGCAGGTAGGCCTGACGTTGCTCAGGCAAAAGTAAGGATAGCGAAGATTAAAATTATTACATTACAGTCAACCTTACCCGTTTTCACAGAATTGGGTCCCCCTATTTTCGGACTAATTAGAGAATTTTTAGATGGGTCTAAAAATGTGTTCGATTTCCTGCAAAACGAAAAAACTGCATCTGTGCCTTGCACGTTGCTTTCTCTTAACAATTCCATTGTTAAAACTTTCAATGTTGACACTTCCATTGTCGAAATCTTAATCCTGTCTCTCTCCCCTGGGGATTTCAAAAAATCCCTTCTTAGTGTGCATTTTCGTGACATACCCTAACTATGTACCAAATTTCAACTTTCAACTCCTAACCGTTTGGGCTCTGCGCATATTATTATTATTATCATTATCAACTCGTCTCGATTATATATAGATGGGAACTATAAATTATTTTGTTGGGTTGTTATGCAGGTCTCCTTATCGCTTAACACCAGAAATGCAAAAATGATTTGATGTTTTTTTCAAATACATAATCTGGGGGTCAATAAGAAGGCAAATATTCTATAAAGGGGTCGACGAAATAAAAAATTTGGGGACCCCCTAATGTAGATGAAAAATGCTGTAAAAGTGTGTGCATAAGAAAAGATTGTCTTTTCTACAACAAACTTACTAAATTGTCTAAAGCAAAGTGTGTTGTTGTAGTTTTAAGAAAAGTTTTTAATCTACGAACTTTTCATTGTCTTCGAAGTGTACAACAGGTATGTTGTTTGAGGTTTCTAGGCTTATTAGTATGTTGTAATTTACCGTATTTCTTCCAAAAATAGCAGAATAAAATGGAATGTTAAAAATCTGCACTTATGCATACACCCACTTTGAAGGACTACATTAAAACATTCATTTAAATTGTCTCACAACAGAAAGGAATGTAAAAAAAAAATTTGTACCCATTCACACACATATTCCGAGAGTGTTTATACACTATATGTATTATTCAAAAGATTTGGTGTTATGTTATAACTATGTACATTTTAAATTAGTTGACTGAAGAGGGGCATTGTGAAGCCCACAATGTGTAAAATGCATATCAACTAAAAAGACCAATAAAAGGATGGAAGTATGCCTAGTGTTCCATTAACTGCATTTTATCGTGCTTACGAAACAAAAAACGTAAAATGACATGGTTTCAAGTCATATGCAAGCACCTTAACAAACTGAAAATAGATTTTGGTTTAGTATATACCAAATATATAACTATATATTTGGTATGTACTAATGAAAAATATATAACTATATTTTCCATTTGAATTTTATGAGTCATGCAACAAACCTCCACATCACATTTTGTTGCATTTCCTTAAATACACTTTGAGTTATGATTTGTAGGTTATTCTTTAATTTTGAATATCAGCATAAATAAGACTTACCAAAGGAAACTTAATTTTCTTTTGATTTCCAACTTTTTGTAAAAAATAAACTCTGTTAGTATCTCTATCTACACATACTACAACTTCATCTTCTAAACATCTGGAATGGTGTTTGGGTAAAGCTGTTCTGTATACAAGAGTCATTACAGTACCTTTATCTTTTTGACGATTTCTCCTATTCAAAAATTTAAATTTATTTTAGTTATTTTATTATATGAATATATATATATATCGTGTAAAATTCTACCGATTTCGATCAGGGCGGACTTATTAAGAAAAATAGGCCCGAAAATTCTGATGGCATCGCGTGACCTCAGAATAAAAGCTTCAATAAATAGAGTTATAATATAGATAAAACGTAGAAACTTTTATTCCAAAGACTCCCCTAAGTAATGACAGTCAATATATAAATATGTATTCGATAATTTTTAGTTTCCCGGATGTTATATATAACAGAAGAAATGTGTAGCAATCGGTCAAAAATGACCCCCTCCCAAATTTTTACATTTTTGGACTTTTGGACTTTTTACATTTCTTTGCTTATAACTTATAAACAAAGAAAAATAACAGTCGGAAAAGTAATAATATCGACTATTCTGATTACTTTTTTAAAAAATACAAAATAAAACGATTTTTAAAACTTAATTAAACATTATAATTTGACACGTCTACTTAATGTATAAATTCATATTTATTGACTTGTTTGATAATGGCAATGGTNATTAAATAAAATTTTTTATTATTATGTGAAGCTATTTTATTTTTTAGTATGGAATGAAATATATATATATATATATTAAAAAAAATTAAAATCAGTTTAAAAAAAATGTAATTACTATAAACAATAATAGATGATGTAATCATAAAATACAAAATTATTCCCAAAATGCTAACAGAAAAAATATAGCATTCCTTATATGTAAAATTTATATTCTAACAAAATACTATGAATATGAAATCACCAAAGCTTAATTAATCATATGATAAATTACACATTTACTTCTAATACATTTACATTAATGTTTATTTGGTGTACATTTTTAATAAATTAATGTTAAAAAAATCATTCTAATTTACAATATATAGTTTTTTAAAGCTTTTTTCCACACTGTGTATAGAAATAATCCCAGACAAAAATTTTTGCTGAAGAAAGATTAATTTCTGACAGAGGAAAAATCTGTTATCCTGCTGTATTAATAATGATACAGAAATATTAGAAACAAAAACATACAGTGCTACCTCAGGATACGAAATTAACCCATTCCGAAACTGAGATTGTATCACGAAAATGTCGTAAGGTGAATCATTTTTCCCCATACGATTACATGTAAAACCAAATAATTCATTCCAACATGAAAAACACACTCAAATTAAAGCTACATAGTACATTAAAAAAAAGTAACTATAGTAAGGAAAACACTGGAAAATATGTTTTGTAGTTGTAAATGTATAAATAACCATAATAGAATAATAATTGATTAAAAAAAATGTAGTTTTATTTGCATATTACCTTTCAGGACAGACAACAATGGAGGTGTAAACTGGTGGCAGAGGAGAGGGAGAAGGGGAATGATACTAAAACTTAACTTACATAACATAAGGTAACAATAACTTAAAAATAACTTAACACTAATTTTATCATCTTTTCTGTTTATATATATTTTTTAATTTTTTATTCACTGCCTTTTGCTTTCTTTCCTTCATTTCCATCAGCACTTTCACTGGATAGAGGTCGCTTGGTAAAATATCTATCCAAAGAGGTTTGGCTTTACCTACTTTTTAACCTTCTGTTAGTCGCATGGGTCTGACAGACCCGACTCGATTTTCAGTCAAAATTTTTTACTATTAAATATTTTTTGAAAAATTTGAAAAAATTAATATTCCTCAAACTTTTTAATTAGATTAACATGCTGTTAAAATTTTTTGCATAGCAACGCTCATTTTTTAGAAAAAAAATGCTTTACGAGTCGCATGGGTATGACAGACCCATGCGACTCACGGAGGGGGTAAAAAAACGTCAATTAATTTGTCGCCGTTGCCGATAGCGAGTGTCGCAATAACTTTATCGCGCTGAAGTTGTCGCGCGGTGTCTATTATACTTTATAATATCGTTATTTATTTATATATTTATATTTTTGTTTTTTTT